AAATTTTAAACCACCAGAAATTAACTCTCTGCCAACAGTTGCAGGTCTTTATTTTAACTGGCAAACACACACATACGCAAGAAAATACATTCCCAAGTTGTGATGATTTGGCAATCCCAAAAAGTACATCCCTTTCACTTTTAGCAACCCACTAGTAGCCAAGTGCCATCAGGTTTCAGGATGGGATATTGTGGATATATTAATTGGAGGAAGAAGCAACTTCAGTTTAGTCACATGTTCCTGCCCTCATCTTTTGCTCTCAAATGACACACACACACAGGAGAGAGAGAGAGAGAGAGAGAGAGAGAGAGAGAGAGAGACAGACAGACAGAAAGAGAGAAGAGAGAGAGAAAGAAAGAGAGAAAGAAAGAGAGAAAGAGAGAGAAAGAAAGAAAGAGAGAGAAAGAAAGAAAGAGAGAGAAAGAAAGAGAGAGAAAGAAAGAAAGAGAGAGAAAGAAAGAAAGAAAGAGAGAGAAAGAAAGAAATTGTTTAGAATGCTTTTCATCCATGTATGTTACACTACAACTCTATTAGGATCACAGAAAGAAAAAGAAGTGAATTTCCATCAACAAAACTAAATAAAATGTAATTCTAATGAGATGATATTGAATTTCACGACCAACTGTTTGCAAATCCCTATCTGCAAGTCAATACAACTTTCCAGTTTTGCTACAAAGGTAGTAAAAGCCAGAACAATATACACAACACAATTCTTTATGCATAATAATAGTGTTCATGCACATTTAATATTTAATTATGTGACATATCATTTTACTGTAATACTGTTGCAACTAAATAAAATAGAATTGTGAAAAAGTGAGATTTTACAGTAAATCAGTTTAAAAAAGTCCTTTTGCAAGTGGATTAAGTATCTACCTCTGACATTGTACCAATTGCCATTTGGTAGCACATGCATTGCTATTTAATGCATGCCATTTATTTTTGTGAGACACTCTACAAAATATTTTTTTTTAATGTTACAACTGTATTCCAGATAATATAACAATATGCATTTTTTATGTTTAAAAATAATCATACCTGAAATATTTTCAAAATTATATTTTTGTTTGCAATGGCATCTTCATTTTCACTGGTAATAAGTTTTGTCAATTGCAAAATGCCATGTCCATGCACAGGTATGGAAGAATCACAGGCACACAAAATGGCTTCTTTATAAGGATTCAATTCTTTAAAATACTTTCGAGACGTATCACTTGGCTCATTTGGTTCCTGATTTCTTCCTGTCCTTTCTGATTTGCGTGTTTTGGTCTTCTGTGTTCCACGTGTCTTGCCTTTACCTTTATCCTTGCTCTCTGCGCGTGTAAAATTTTCCCTAGCAGTGCTTCCAGTCACTACATTGCGAGTCACAATAGTCTTGTAAACTTCACCAGCAAGTAATTTAAGTTCTTTGTTTCTCACACTATCTTGTATCAGTTTCAACGGTTCTACAATTCTATCAAAAATTTCCCATTCAACAGGTTTACTTTCTGTCCCATTATTACTAAGTGCCATAGCTACAGTCATAATGACCATCATTAGGTCCTCAGTAGCAGGATCCTCACCATCCACTGCTTCAGTGCTATTGCACAAATATTTGTAATCTCGCTCTAATATGTACAAAAAATAATCAATCAGGTAACTTGGGTCATTATTGATCCTCTCATGAATAAAAACACTATTTGACAAAAGACTTAGTAACTTGATAGTAACATAATGACGTTCCCCTCCACTAATTCCAACTTCCTTACTTGCACTAACTTCATTTGGTTCGCATAATTCTGCATTGACACTATTACCACACAGAGACTGAAGGAGGATCATAAACAAGTCAGTTGTTACTTTCCCACTGTTGTCCCTTGTACTTATAAGATGAAGCAAGCAATCTCCCTTACATTCAATCTCTTGTAATGTCCTAGGAAAACTTCCTTCACGTCTCTGTAACACAACACATGCTCCCCCAGTTGAACCAAAAGAGAATGCAACGCGATTATGGTCCATCAGCTGAACACCATTCATAGAGTCACCAAACAAGAAATTTCTATATGTACAATTCAACATATCACCATCCAAATTAGATAGGAATTTAATTAACAAATCTTCAACCTTGGACACTAAAAATGATGGGCTCTTATATATTTTGAAGTAAAGTTGAAAAAGAATAGAACTAACTGGTGAAAACAATGAAGGTGATAAAGCACTACCAACAGTACAACATTCCACAAAAACTCTATGCATGTTGACAATGGATCTGGACAAATATTCTTCAGACACAATAGTATCACTATCTTCCTTTTCCAATTTGCTGTTCTCTCTTGGATGTTCAGGTTTTCCACATCGATACAATGGATCCATCAATACACCAAGAAAATGTTGGGAAATTAATTTTGGTTCACGCTTATAAATTACTTCTATGCATTTCACAGCAACTAATATCTGGATATGAGAATATGTCTTTTCTTCTGCAGAAAGCATCTCCAATATCTGTAGAATAAATTAAACACAAATGTATTACATCAATTGGAAGTTACACACTAACAAAAAAATTCAATTGATTTTCTCGCAGCATGTAGGTAAAAGGCTCCATGTATTTCAGCGCAGTATTGTGAACATGCTTTTTGAGATCTTTCTAAAGAAACAACCCTTAGTTCACCATTTGTTGATGTTACTTATGCAAGTGTAAGAACTGTTACATTCAACTAGTGCTAACATAAGATGTTATTGCAGTGGCTTAGTACTTCTGTCTCAAAACAATCATATAGTAATATACTGTTTTTTTAACAATTTATTACGAACATTAACTATTTTTGTTCATTTACTCAATGGAAGATAATACAATACTTTTCAATTGCAAAAATTATTCATTTATCTGGACTATGATTATTTTAATTTTCTAATTTCCCCAAAAAAGTATTCTAAAAATTAATACAAATTTTCAATTACAAGATCCAATAATAGATACTCACGACTCAAATAAAATTATGCATTAGTAAATTCATTACATTCTACATACACAAGTAAATGAAAGTAATATATTAGTCATAGAAAAAGTTGTTTTTTCAATTAAGAAAACTTTTCATAAATGCATGAACATTTTTAAATTCCCTTTCCTGTAATGCATACAATGAAAACACTTTGATTATAAATATTTTTACCTGTGAACATATGTTTTTATAATACTGTTCTGGATTGGCCGTGTGCACAGTCGTAACAAGGCCAACAACAGTTTCAAGCTTACTCCAGTCCTTGCCAGTATCATGATTTGGGTCACAAATCGCCCGAATCAAGGCACTCACTCCTCTTGGGCGCATTAAACAATGAACCAAGAGTTGAATACATGTCCGTTTCAGCCATGAAGGAGGGGATGTATGACTGCATGTATGTACCTAGAATATTCATGTTTTCCACTGCACAATAAGTGATATCAAACTTGGTGTTATGATAATGTAAAATCATACCATAATCACTTAAGGTGTTACCAAGTGAAGTACTCACCCTCTTTAAACCAGCTGCACCATGAAGAAGTAATAGTTCTCTTATTACAAAAGGTTGGTAGACTTGCCAAATGAAGGACACAAAACAATTGCGGAAATGTGTTCTATCTTGCTGGAAGAGATTCCATAATTCCTGAGTCATAACAAATTCATCATCTGATAAAGTGTCAGATTGTTGACCAGAAACTGGTTTCTTAAGAGGTGCAAAACAAATCTGGGAGAGGGCTGCCATCAGATCTCCCAAATGGTGGGCAACAATGAGACTTCGAAGGCTTGGATGTTCACAACACGCAAGAAGGCCTCTTGTCACAGCAGCTAATCGTTCATACTTCTATTAAGGAAACCATAAAATTACACACTTCGAATATAACAAACTAGCTCACATTGCATTTTTACACCAGTACAAACCTCAAGAACTAACAGATCTTCTTCTTTTAAATTGTGAGCACTTGTGCAACGTGCAGCTAATGATATACCCACACCAGGTATAAGACTTGGCAACATTCCCATAGATACAACAAACTGCAAACATGTACGTATTGTTTTCTGTTGATTTACACTCAAAATATCAGGTGGAGCTTTTGATGTGTCTTTGTTGTTAGCATCACTACTTAGTTCTTTCAAACAGTCCTTCATTGATAGTAAAATGTGCAATGTAACACAAACAAATTTCCATCTGTGGGACAAATAATTGTTATATACATCATAATACTTAAAAATTATTGTTTTTACACTTCGTTTACAAAGACAACGTTAACTTTTTGGGCACCTAAGCAATGCAAATGAAAATTAAGGAGAATTTTTAATACTGAAACAAATCAAAGGAAATGCCAATTCTAAATGGCAGCAACACACTTTTCTTTCTTTATTGGATTCAAACTGGCTCAATCACTTCAGGATTCATTAAATTGCATGCTTGCATTTTATAACGTATTTGTGGAATGGCTAAGAACAATACATGCAATATTTTAAATACACTATAAATTATGTAATATATTTATCATACAACTGATCAATGTTTGAATTCAATAACAAATCAAAAAATATACGATATATGGCACAAGAGCAATAAAAAATTCAGATAAATATAAATTATTTACAAAGTTCAATATTAATCACGTCCATACTAAATATTACAATATATTTTATAAAATGTCAAAAGGACTGATATAAGTGCCCTATTCAAACTTTCCTGAATGACAAACAGAAGAAATTAAAACAAATATAATGCCAATAATTACCTGACACTAGTGCTGCCAGTAACAGAACATTTAATATCAAGTAATGATTGTAAGGAATTCAAATTTTTAATTCCAAGTTTTTTCATTGCATCGGTGATGTTTAATTGTAAAATATCATGCAGTTCACCCTTGCTTCCTGAAACATAACGAGCAACAAAAAACTAAATGAAACGGTATTTACTATAGGAATTTTATCTATAGCATGAGACAAAATAAAAAACAATTATCCCACAGCCTTATATTTTTAGGCCATAAAACTCAAATTTACCTTCGTCAGCCGGTTTAACAAGCATGTTTAAAGCGCTGTGAAGATCGTGAAGATTTGCACTAATTTCTACCATCTTGTTCTTCAAATCCATTATGTGAGATGTTAGACAGCACAAGCACTTATATGTGAGAAATAGAACCCAAGCACATTCTAAGAAATGTTCTTGCTCACGAAAGAGGATAAATGATTCCCTTGCTTTCTGCCATTGCACCGGTTAACTTTCCTTCTGTCATTGAGTAACTACTTTTTTAGATTCAATGTCTCTTTAACTTTTTGGTTCTTTTCGCTACATTCCTGGAAAACGTTGATATTTTACATATTCGACACACAAATGAGCATCAATGATTTAAATACGAAAGATCCTCTTTTCGGTACACTGGAATTTATGGCACCTGTACAACACGAATACCAGCCACCGATGGCTACCGAGAACCAAGGACAGAACACGATGCACGCTATTAGTGTCTAATAGGAGTTTTGCTTTAGGTTTCCCCTCTCCGCTTCGAAGATCTTAAGTCTTCACACTTTAGTAAACAATTAAAACCTGCACCATCAGCCGCTGCCTGAGAAGGTAGACCCGTACCCAGACGAGACGAAATACTCCGAGATATTCTTTGACTCGTTATATACTCTCTGGCCTGTACCAAAGATGATGTAACTATACTAGTTATAAGATCTTTGGCCCGTACCGAACCACTCTTTAACACAATTACTGTCGGTTTGGAGCAAATGCCTTTGAAGCGACACTAGTGGTTGAAATAAACTATTAATATTAGCTCAACACCCGCATTTGAAATGTTCTCCAGGAATTCATTTTTTTTTCTTGCGTTTAAGAAGGAACTTCTTAAGACGAGAAAGTTAATGTGTAATGCTGCGCGAGAAAACAGCGAAAAACTCTTATTACAAGGCCCTGGTAAAGAAAAAGTGGATAAATCCAGATGCTAAATTTAGAAAAAAACTTCTAACACATAATGTCATCAGAACCCCAGTTTTGTGGATCCTTGATACCGAAAAATAGATTGACGGCAAAACATCGGTCTGTGAACCATGAACGCTAACGGCTAAATCGTTCAGCCGATTTTCTCCAAATCGATCTGTCTGATGCCGCGGCTCCTTGAATTTGAAACCGATATTTTAATTTTTGGAGTACATTACATGAAGCCCCTGGGACATTTTCAGTTTTTTTTTAAATGACGTCATCGATTTTCATTAAATTTTGGTAGATTGTCTGAAGGACGTTCAGGAGAATGACGCAGTACGTAAATTAGAATATGTATGGTATTTTATAAAACATATTTCTTTGTTCGTTTCTTACATTGGAGCTTTTATTATACGTCTACAAATTAATATTTTAGAAGTTATTTAAAAGCTATTGAAAATAACTATGGAATAAATATTGCAAGCCCGCTCGCAACTTACGCAGTTGGATGCTACGTAAGTAAAAATTTGTATATTATTTAATATTTTATTTTATGATTATTTATTATATATTTATTTTATTTCATTTTAAATTATGTCCTTTATTTGTGTTAAATGTGAAAACGAATAGATGTGCGCTCATTGTTAGTTGTTGTTAGTTGTTGTTAGTTGTTAGTTATTGCTGTAACGTCGCATAGATGACATGAAAATGAAGGTTGCTTTTAGTTCGCGGAAATAAAAACGAATACTTTTATATATTTGTAGAATATTTCAATACCATAGTGTTTCATAATTACGATTATATATTTTTCTATCTATTTGTTTTCCAATGCTATTAGTTCGTATTAACTTTTAAATATTTTACTTTCTTGCATTCTGCGTATTTTTTGCACCAAATGAGTTTTTAAAAAAATATTTCGGAGAAAAACTGTGGAATAAATAATATTACATAACCGCTGCTAGTGGCTAGATAGCACGTGCTGTTTTAGCACAACTAGTTTTAATACATAATACGTTGTCGTTAAAGTAATGCGGACAAAGATAAGAAGGGCTTCTGCTCAGGCAAACTAGACATCTGACCCCAATACATTTTTAAACTCATTGTAGGTCATAAATAACAGGGGCGGATTCAGAAACAAACTTTGGGAGGGGCAATTCAAAATGTTTTCGTCGAATAAGTCATATTTCAGATTTTGTAAAAGGCTACACTCAGCTCATGTTGCAAATACGATTTTATTCGTTTTAATAGTAACCCGAAAATATTTTGCCTGAAAGTTAAAATTAATAGTTATTGAAAATTTTGGGCGGCATTTCATTAATTTTTCTTCCCGTGGATCCGGACCTGGGATGTAATAAAACAGAATTATGCAACAAAACATGTTGCTTGCGGGAGACATTTAGAGACCGAGCTGCGGAACTCTTCTACACCAAAACGCCCATCTATTGACGGAAATAAAGTTCAATCTCTGGAGCTGCGTTACTTTTTAGAACGAGCGAGCCCTTGTGCCATCCTTCTGGGTTCAATTATTAAAAAAAAGGGATCATATCCTTTGATTGCCAAGGGGCTGTAAGTCTAAAATACCGTCACTGAATTTAGAAGGAGAAGAATTTTGTAAACACTTGATTTTGGGTTCATAATAATCTAAAAGTGTTCATGAAAAAATCTGAAAATTTGTTATGGTCCAAGTTGCGATTGAATCGACCAATTTATATTCCGTGTATATAGTATAGAGTGTATGTACATAGTATAGAGTAGTGGCGGCATTTCCTCCTAAGAAAAGGTGGTTCACCAGTGGCATATAGGGAGGGGGAGACTAATGCGGCAGGTCATGCCCTCTTTTTCAAGTCAATATTTTTTATATTTTTCCTCGATTTATTTAAAACAATTACCACACGAAGATAGCATCACATCAAATTAAATCCTCCCTAATTAATATACTTTTTACATACCCGTATATATACATATAAATGGATTAATATTGAATAGGGTATGGATTAGATAGTATAAGGAAAGTTATGTAATGCTGCGGAAAATCTATTTCGAGATTTTAACGGAAATACATGTTTTGGGGTCCCCTGATACTGAAAAAAGATTTTTTCAAAAAGTCAGTCAGTACGTCCGTCAGCTCGTTCGTCTGGTGTATGTGATCAACACTAGCGTCTAAACCATGTGTAGGATTTTTTCCAAATTGAAGAAACCTCTACTCTGAGACAAAGCTCTTCGATTTTGAAAAGCATTCATTAGTTTTTGGGTGTTCTTTACACGATGTCCGCCGGACATTTTCTAAATTTTCTCAAAAATGCTCTCTCACACTCGCCTGATAAACTCTCTTAGACCGCTTTACACGATTAGAAATATCTCCCGAGACGAGTCTCCTAAGTCACGGGAGAGTCGTTTCCTGAGATATCTCCGGAAGAGTATCTCCTTGCTGTTTACGCTTGATACAAAGATTTTTTGGCGCAGCCATGTTGAATAGGCAGCAGCGAACAGTTTGAGGTTAGAATGTGACAACTTTTACAGTTACCTGTGCTACTTTTATAATTTTGAAGAAGCGGAGGAAAAGAAAGACACAAGTGTAGGAGATAGTTTTTAGAAGAGAAGAGCTGAGTATTTATAAAAATTTGATAGTAGAATTGCAAGAAGGGAATATTTAAAAAAAATTGCTACTTGTTCAATTGCATTAATATTTTTTCAGGAACATTGAAATAAAACGTTTTAATTTTCGGAGGATAAAAACATTTTTGGAAAACGTGGTCGGATTCAAGTACGACGAAAATAGTTTTGACCTAATGTTAAGTTTTGAAAAGTAGATGAAGTTGATATTTTGTTCAAGAATTTTATGTGAAGTTAAGTATAAACGATTTCAAAGAACCAGTTTGAAGTTCTCGGTGATTTTTTTATTTGATATAAGCCAGGGAGTATGTAAAACTTTGCGAAGGAATTTATTTTGGAATTTGTATACATTCAAGTGATATTGGCAAAGGAGAGGGGGTAGGTATTCCTCAAGAAAACATGCGGGTGTAATAGTAGAGGCATTACGTCAAAGAGGGCAGGTATATGAAAGAGAAGGCCTACCAAAAATTCCACAATTAATTCGTAATTTGGAGTTTTTATTTATTAAAAGATACAACAACAACAACAACAATAATAATAATAATAATAATAATAATAATAATAATAATAATAATAATAATAATAATAAACCCTGTGTGGTGTCGGGGTTTTTAGTAGGATAGCACCCTGTCGTAAAAGGCCACTAATCGGAAGAGCTGACCTCTGTTATCCTTCTTTTCGCGCCAATATTCCCTTCCTTACCTGCGGGAGCGAAAGGGTGGATCCAGGAGCTTGGAAGCTCCCGTTACCCATCCCAGTGAAATTCCATTTTTGCCCTTCCTTCTTCCCCTTGCATCAACTTGGCTGTAGGTATAAAAGGCAACCCATAGATATATGGAGTTACAAAGGAGTTGTAAGGCCTCGGAAGAAAAGCCGCTGCCTGGGGAGCGCCAGGGACCGTCAGGAACCGGGGCTGGACGGATCAGTATGCGGGACTCCGAGGTGCTGAGAGGGCGGGCCCCTGCCAATAAATAAGACAGCCCCCAATATGGTTACATCGTTTAACTGTGAGAACCTGGTCAACGTGGAGGAAGAAAACGCGGCATGTACTTCTCATGTCACTTCATCAGCTGGCTCGTCTGCCCGAAATACACGAGAAACTGCTCGCAAAGGACATCTCACCGAAAACAAGCCTCGAGTTAGTTGGTGACGAGAAATGAACATGGAAATTATGATGGCATTTTACCGTGCAAACAAGTGCGAAGATACGCCACATACAATTTAAAGACGACTTTTCCATGAAGACTATGAGAGGATTAGACCAAACATCCAATTTACAGAACAAAATGTTGTTGTTTACCACATAAGGCTATTTAACAACTGAGTTAGAAGGAGTCCGTAAGCAGGTTGCGAGTGAATCGAATTTGAACGACGAAAATATAGTACAACCAATCCAGAGTACCACGTCAAATGACATTGAGAGTACTTTTGAAGCCGCCTCAGATACATAAGAGACCCAGGACACTGGACAGGATGGAGCGGAATTAGAGATAAGAAAACGTGTATGTGTATATGTATATGCATATGTATATGTATATGTATATGTATACGTATATGTATATGTATATGTATATGTATATATATATATATGTATATGTATATGTATATGTATATGTATATGTATATGTATATGTATATGTATATGTATACGTATACGTATATGTATATGTATATGTATATGTATATGTATATGTATATATATATATATATATATATATATATATATATATATATATAAAGACGTTACTATTCATACACATTCAGTCGACATCGACGTGAGCAAGTTATTTTATAATTTTGTTACGTGAACCACTTTCATTGCTCGAAATATTCTAGTTATCCATTTCAAAAAACCATGTATACGCTGATACCAACATCCTTTTTTCTCCATTTATATTCATTATATTATATTTAAAATTTATTAAAATATTAAAAGTGTAATTATATATTAAAAATAATTATATTATATTAAAATTAAAAATTTTCTTGAATGATACTATGTTGGAAGACAGATATTAAACTCATTTTACGATGACGTATCCAATCTTGATTTTAGGAATAGTATTATGAAATGAGGCACATAG